AGTCTCCTTCTCTGGAGACTTTCAAAACTCACCCGGACACGTTCCTGTGTGGCTGCCCTAGGGGATCCTGCTCTGGCAGGGGGGTTGGACTAGATGATCTCTAGAGGTCCCTTCCAACCCCTGACATTCTATGATTCTGTGATTCTAATGCCAGAGGGATGTGGTGTCCCACATATGAGGAGAAACCCTCCCTAGTGCCACCAAAGAGCACCTCCTTGAATTTACTTGCTGCCACCCACCTCATCCAAGCCTGCTGCACTGCAGCTGATGATGCTTGTCCTGACCCCATAACGCTTATCCTGACCCCGCAACAAATGCTGACCTGGCCCATGCAGCCTTTGGGGAGGCTGTTATCCTGCTAATGCTCAACCCAACATCACCCACAGGTCCTGGCACGACCACCCGCAGACCCCATTCCTGTCTGGCAATGCTCCACCACAGGGACTAGGGACTTCCTATCCATCATAGGATGACGCTATGTCATACTCGAGGGGTCACACACACACAAGGGGCAAAATCCTTTCCTTTCCCCCCTGTCCAGGCTTCCCTAACCAGGCCAGCCAGCAACCTGGGCTTCCCCCTTCCCCCAAATCCATTAAAGCGAGTGCCTGGGGGCTGGAAGCAGCCGATGACAGAGGACGGGAAATGGCATGAGGGAAGTGGGGAGGAGAGGGGGAGCGGCAGAGAAGTTCCTGAAGTTTTCTGTCCTGGATAGTTGGAATAAATCTCATTTTCTCTGGTCTCCTTGCTGAGGCGAGGATTGGCTCAGCAGTGCAGCCCGCCCTCCTCCTTCCCACGTCTCCTCCCCGCCAGCTTCGCTCCCTCTCTCCCGCGTGGGGGAACAGCCATAGGAAAAGGGAGGGGGGCATGCCTCCCCTTTTGCCCCCCCTCTGCTCCAGGATGCAGCGTCGGTAACCCTCGAAGCAAGTTACCGGGGCCCACGGGGCGCGTCTCCTAACTTTTCGGCCGGAGGACGGAGAAAAAAAATAATAACGCTGGTTCAGAAGAGGTAAATCCTGAAAGTTTTGATTCTTCAGTTTGTAGAGCTGGGGAAGGGTGCGGGGGGTGGTAGTTTGGGAGCAGAAGGAAAGGGGTGGAGAGTGTGGTCAGAGAGAGAAGGGGAAGGGGTGGCAAGGCGATGGAGACCGGGAGGATGGCGAAAAAGAAAGGGAGAAGGCAG